AGTACATCCAGAGTATGAACTGGTCCTGTGGAAGGTGACAAAGTAAAAGCAGGTCTATCTCACAGATGTTCATCTCCCCAATCTACCGCATACTACTCCCAGTGCCTGGCTGACCGCAGGTATAAACTACCAAACACAAAGGTTAACCCAGAAGACACTGACCTCCCACTTCCACTTTCAGCCTCTTCATTCTCATCACTACAAGAATGCTGTAACTGGTTGGTGTGTAGCAAGGGCCTAATGGCTACCAAATATAGTTCTCTAGTGGACAGAGTTATTGTATTAGGAAGCTGCATAAGTAAAGGAAAAAATTCTAAACAGGTTCTGAGCATGCGTGCCTACTCTATAGCCTAATTCTCAGATGGATTATCATGTATAAACTAAGGATATCTGTGTGATCATAGTTCAACTGTGTTGTTCAATTCGGTTTAAAAATAATTATTTTTAAAAAATATTTGAGAATTCCTTTTAAGCATATGGGTGTTTTGCCTGCATTCATGGCTGTGTGCTACATGTTTGTATTGCCCAAGGATGAAGAGGATGTCAAATCCCCTCGGAACTGAAGTTACGCACTCTGTAGGCGCTGGGAATTGAACTCTGGTCCCCTGGGAAATCAATTAGTGCTTTTATCCATTTAGCTGTCTCTCCAGCCCTCAAAAATTATTTTCATCTGTCTGGTTGCTGGGTTTGATTTCTTAGTGTATTCTATAGACTCAGGGCAAGAAAAGCTTAATTCCAGGACCAACCATCATGTATAACTAGACATAGCTAACACAGGGCAATCGTTTAATAAACATAGTGTGAGCAAAAAAAGATGAAGTCATAAAATATATATTAATTCATAAGGCATGACTAGGAACACAAAGAGCAAAAATCTAAGTGAATTTTAAAAAGCAAAATTACAAAAGTGTAAACTCAATGATTACAACTACAGAGTTATGAGGCATACATCAGAGAAATGGGAAGTATTATGCCAAAAAATTTTAAGCAAGAATAACATGAGAATATGGGAGATTTTTAATTTTTAGAACGCTTTCTTAGGCTGGGAATGATAGCACGTGGATTTAATCCCAACAGAGGCAGAGGCAGAAGTAGGCAGATCTCTGAGTTCTAATCTGATTTATTTACATAGTTCCAGGCCTATTCTTTCTGGGGTTTTCTGTTACTGGTGGGGTTTTTTTTATTGCTGTGATTGGGTTTTCTGGGATTTCTCAGAGACTCACTTGCCTCTGCCTCCCCAGTGCTGGGATTAAAGGTATGGGCACCACCACCCAGCACATACAGATATTCTTAATACTCTAACACCTTTGTTTATACATTATAATTTTATAACACTATAATGCATCTTATGTAACAGAACAAATTTTATTTAAATATAGTGCTCAGAGGGCCCTGTCTTCTCGTGCACACCTGGAAGCTTTTATCTTTCAGCCAATCTGAGGCAGCAGCCATAATCAATTCACTCTGTCTGACTCCCTCTTCTCTCTCCTCTCCCTCTCACCTTTCTCTCCCTTCCTCCTTTCTTCTTCCTCTTTCTCCCCCTTTCTCTCCCCTCCCCTTTGTGTGGGTCAGTGTGCAGACCAAACCCAGGGCCTTACTCTAAGCCTTACACTTCTAGCCTCAAAGGCATTCTTGCACCCAAGTGAGCTGTCTGGAAGCTGACTCTTCAGATCAGATGTCTCACCGTCACCACATGGTAGTCAAGCTTTCGACTGGGTAACTGTGAGCTCACTTCTTGCAGCTATCATCAGCCACATCAGAAGAGCAATGTCCTCTCACTCTCCAAACTCCTACCATCCTCTTAGACTTACCCCAACTCTGCATGTTACTTAAGCACTGTTGCCGAGTAACTGCCTTCTTTCAACCCAACTGCCCTCCCCACTCCAGCCTCACTTGAAGGATAAATAATTATTAAATATTTTGGAAATTTTCTTAGTTTAAGCTTGTCCTAATATATCCATGGGTGGGGGGGGAGGGCGTGTCTAGACATGGCTCAGCAGTTAAGAGCTCTGGCTGCTTTTCCACAGGACCTGGATTCAAGTCCCAGCACCCATATGGCAGCTCACAACTCTCAGTAACTCCAGTTCCAGGGGCTCTGACACCCTCACACAAACATGCACTTAAGCAAAACACCAATGCACATGAAATAAAAATAAAAAAATGTAAAAAAAAAAACATACCTATTTATAAATTCACTTAATTATGGAAAATAATTTCTTCATTATCTAAACAACTTGCTAATAAAAATAAAAAATGTAAAAAAAAAAACATACCCATTTATAAATTCACTTAATTATGGAAAATAATTTCTTCATTATCTAAACAACTTGCTAAGAAAAACAGTGAGATCAAGCATAAGCCTTTGGTGAAAAAAACCAATTAGAACATGGAAAGTATTTAACTTTATTTCTAAGTCTAAGTCGTTTTTGTCTCCAGGAACATGGGTATAAAAACATATAGTCTAAAAATACTACTTTGGGAGAGTTTTTTTTAACATCTTTTTTTTAATCTAAATCCCTTCTCCATGTGCACTCATGGCTGTATTCTATCACCCCCTTACGTTACGACAGACGTATTGGGGTCTACATTCTGAGTATGTTATCTTAGATACAACATTCCCTATGCAGTGCATGTCCCCACTCCCCACCACCACCCATATTTGAAAGGCTGCTGAAATGACACACCCAGGGTCTGGACTCAAGCAGCTTGGTTCTAGAATCTGTACTGTGCGCCACCATACACAGTCCTTCCTGGACTGAAAGGCCCTCCTTCCACTGTGCTTCTCCACAGGCCCACAGGAGGTTTGGCACACTCTCGGTGTCCATGTCTTCCCACTCACTTCAGGTGCTTGCGCTTGCTCTGCAGCTTCCTTGTAATATGTGCAGCAAGGCACCAGACATCTGCTTCCTGCCTCTACTTCTAACAGAAGCACCATGTATGCAAACAGTTATCATCTACTTCCTCAAATTCTCTGGGAATTTCTTTAATTTTGTAAAGACATTTTTCTAATTATAAAGTGCAAAATATTTTAAAGGAAAAAAATAACCACAGCATTCAGGAGACAGAGGTAGGTAGATCTCGGGCAGTTGGAGGCCAGCCTGGTCTACACAGTAAATTCCAGGACAGCCAGAGCTTCATAGTGAAACACTGTCTTGAGAAAAAAAAAATGAGAAGATTAAAAACTGAGGCAAGGTGACAAGAGAATTCTACAGAGGGACATGATCGTACCTTTACAAAGCACGTCGGTCTCTGCAAAGGAACATGAGCTCAACAGCTGAAGGATGGCCCCCGCAACAGTGTGAGAGACACCAACACTAAAGTTAGAATGCTGACCACAAACATTTATTTTTCTTCTTACTTAATGCATCTCCTCCTCATGAATCACACATACAAAACTGACAGATCCATCTATTTCCATTTCTAGAAGAGAAGAAACACTTAAGGAAAATCAAGGGAAGTTTCTTCTGCATGTGCACAATCAGAAACTGACTGTGCTCCCCGGAATAGCAGCCCTGGGAAACGCTAGAATCAAGAAGGCTGCCGGCCGCACACAGAGAAGACTTGAAATGCTTCTAACAGGAAAATAGAAATGAGTGCTCAAATGACTGATGTGTCCTGAGTCACACTCACCTCAACTCATCCTAAAAATCTTGGAACTAGATGTTAGGAATCCCCAGAAGCCATGAGCAAAGGGACCATGCTTATCACAGTTCTTGACTAGTATCATCAACAGTGGAGGATGACACATATAAGTCTTAAGATAATTCTCAAAAAGAGAAAAGTTCAATGATTTGTGAGCTTATTAACTATGGTTCTGAAACAAAAAAGGAACCCTGACTGTGCGGGTTTACATTAACAAACTGTTTTGATCCTTTCGGCACCCAACATGCTGTGTGGCAACAGAGGTCTACAAGTAAAAGAGGAAAGTCAAAGTGTTTGTTCTCCAGTGAACTGGGTTTTCCCATCTGGCCAACAGCCTCTAAGACTGTAAGCAGAGTATGAACACCACTGAACTGTGAACTTGCAAACAGTTGAAGAGCTGGGAATAAAGGCACATGTCTATAGTCTCAGCTTCTCCAGTGGCTAAGGCAGGAGGAGCTCAAGATAAGCCTAGGCAATATAGTGAAACCTTATGAAACCCTTTCTCCAAAGAAACAAGAGGTTCAACAGTTACAGAAGCCTAAAGAAAAGAAAAAGATCAATGAAAACCCAAAGTACTCTGAATTTAAAATAAATGGTGTTAAAGGACAAAGACTAATGCTCTACTGCTTTCAAATAATAATTCAAAGTTTTGTTTTTCTAACTGGGCTTGGTGCCATATGCCTAGTGCTTGGGATACTGAAGCAGGAGGATTGTGGGTTCAAGACCAGACACTGCTACATAGTGAGTATGAGGCCTTTCTGGACCATATAGTGAAACCTGTTTCAGGAAGAGGGAGAGAGGGAAGAAGGGAGACAGTAAGAGAGAGAGAAAGACAAAGAGAGTGCATATCCAACATATGGATGCCACACAATACAAAGAAATAGAAATTAATTAATTGAAGGTCCCATCTTAGGATCTGAAAGGCCATAAATATACTTACTTCACAGCAAACTACCATAATAGCAAAAGGTAAATTCTAAAACCTAGTTTTACACAATGCTGAAAACTGCTTCATTGCAATTTGGGTAACAATTCATCAGGGCTGCCACTGCAGCAGAGGCTACAGCACCGCTGTTTTGCAAACACCACAAAACCTTTTATTCATATACACAAAGCAGCAGCAGAAAAAGAAAACACAATCAGGTTTGAAGCAGGACAGTACAGCCTGCAACCTTCTCCTCGGAAGAAACATGTCAAACCCCTGGCTACTGAGGACACGGATCTTCCCAGGGTGCCCTTGACCACCGTTTTCTTACACATTCATCTTCGATGTGATGCTGCACTAGGAGGTAATTATCTGTCATCACTTTAATCCCCACCCACTTTCTAAACAATCTCTAAGTCAAAGGAAAACTTACCTCGGCAAAATGTGTTGATGTGCTATTGTCTATCCGGCTTCCACCACCACCTAAAAAACTAAAGAGAAAAGCAATGGTGGTGATTCTATCCCAGGAATGAGCGCCCTTCCCAGAAGCTAAATATAGAACTGCAAAATGAGAACAAAGCTCAATAAGGAAAAGCAACTCATCCCAACAGGACACCTGCCAAAGACATTATGTCTGTGAGAATATCTTAACAAATAAAACAGTAAGTAGCAAACAGGCAAAGGAAAGCTGGCATACCAAACAACAAAATCAAGTTTTCAAATGTTAAAGCTACATCAAACAAAAATTTAGGGAGAAAGGCCACTGCACAGAAAGAGGAACTCACAGCCAGTAACACAGTCCAAAGTTAGCCTAGCAAAGGAAGAAGAGAAAATCTGTATCCCCAAAGAGTTTAAGAAAGCAAACTATTTCACGATGAAACAATTCAACCAGATAGATGATCAAGACAACGGAGGTTAGCATCTTCTGGAATTATTAAATATGTAATATAAAGGGCCTGGGATAATTTAGAAGATTAGAAAAGAGTTCAATAAGCATTTCTTCTTTATGAAAGGTCATCCTATTCTTAGATTATCCTGCCCACCCAGGGCTTCTTCCTCCATTAACTGCTTCTGAACTCACCAACCAAACATGAGTCCTCCAGATCCCTCTGTACTCTGACTCTGCTTCTGAGCTCTACCTTGTATCATAAATGGCGAGGATTTGCCTCAACCATTTCAACCCTTTTTTCCTTCCATAAGCATAAACTGAAAGGTCAAAAACTGTATTTTATTATTAATACCTTACAATTTTTATTATTTGTCAGATGTTATATAATAAATGCATTTCTCACCTTTGAAAACCTTGTGATGGCATATTGTATACCTATAACTCCAAAATAAATGTTGCTGAATTAATAGCATGTGTCTAAGTGATAAAATACCTCTTTTCAAGGATCCAGAAGAATAGGAAGAAATGGAACCCCCCTGCCTATATGAAATTTGCAGAGAAGAAACTGTCTAACCCTTTTGAAAAAGGAGGATGGACTGAATCATAAAAACCTGTTAAACATCTCTTTGAGTAACAAACACAAGCAAACATGCTAATCATAAAACCTTTGAACTTCTACAAACTTTCATTTTCAGGATTACGATACACTGAGCTCTCTGAGGAAACAAGGACACCCTAGCTAGTCTAAAACCAAAAGCAAATATTACCCTTTTTGTACTCATTCTCAAGCCTTACTCTGATGAGAAACCACTTGATACTTGTGTTTGTATAAGGAATTAAAAATGCTTTTAAAAAATCATTTTAGTTGTGCAACAAAGTACTTGTAACACCTATACTAAATAAATAATTGAACTACCAGATTCCATAATACACGGCTATATATATTGTTTATTACCCAAACCTAACAGGCTCCCAAGGATCATCTTTCCTGGCTGTGTGGTTGGTGTTGGTGGTGGTGGTGGTGGTGGTGCATACGTGTGTACATGTGTGTACATGTGTGTCTGTGTGTCTGTTTTGTTTTTGAGACATGGTTTGACTACATAGTTTAAACTGACCCTGAACTCACTATGTAGCCCAAACTAGTCTCAAACTTAAAATACTGCCTGCCTCAGCTCCCCAAGTGTTAGGATTACAAGCATGTACCACCATGTCTGGCTTCTTTCCTGCCCTTACTACATGATTTCAGAAATTCAAATGTTAGTAATTCAAATAATCAACTCTATCTTTTTTTTTAACATTCTGCTCCCTTGAAACTCTTCCAACATTCCCTTTCTTTAAAATTCTTCTGAATCTTAAGAGTAAACAAACTAACCATAGAGAAGGAATAATAAAAGCAACAATATTCTAATAAATTTACAATATCCCTCTAGTATGTGTGGAAGAAGATGGGGTAAAATATCTTATGTTTCCATGCAAAGACTTCCTCATATTGATTTGTTTTTCTTGAGGGTCAAACTTAGGGCCTCACACAGGATAGGCCCACACGCCTACCACTAAGCTACATTTTCAGTTTCTACTTTTGCTTTCGCGAACAGGTCTAAGTTGTCCACGCTGACCTGGAAACTCTGTAGCCCTGGCAAGCTTTAAGATCATCCTGCCTCAGCTTTCTGAGTAACTGGTATTACTGGCTTGCAGTATCAGGCTCAGCTTCAATAAATGTTTACCATCCACTATTAATCAAGTACTAAGGTCAACAAATACTTAGAAATTTTACAAAAGAAAATAATAATTCATTGCTTTTAAGACTGAGTCTAAGAACAGGATTTCTTCCCTCTTTGAAAACACTGACTTCACCAGGCAGTGGAAGCTCACACCTTTATCCCCGCACTTGGGAGGCAGAGCAAGCAGATCTCTGAATTCAAGGCCAGCCTGGTACACAGAATGAGTTTCAGGACAGCCAGGGCTACACAGAGAAATCCTGTCTCAAACAAATAACAACAACAACCAAACAAAACAAAACACTGACTTCATGCAAAACCCACAATATTTATATTCCAATAGCTGCCATCAATAGCATCTATTCAGGACAATCTTTGACCCTATACAGGCAGAAATAAAAGAACTGAGTAAAAATAAAATCCATAGAATTTCTAGTTCCCTGCTACAAAAGCATTCAGCTTGCAGCTAGTCATTATACTCAGGTATAACTGCCCTGGAGAAAATTTCCATGTCTAAAGAAATCAGATTTCCTATTTTAAAACTTAGGGGAACATCCATTAGTTACTCCCCTACACCCTGTACACTCTATTCATGCAGAGCATTAAGTGCTTAAATAAATATTTGATGCAATTATAATAGCACAAATAAGAAACCCCACGTTAGCATGCCATCCACACACTGCTAATTCTGCTGTCATGCTAATCTTACAGGCATGATGCTGGTGTTGTTATTTAAAACCAAACTGTTACACCAACATTCAAGAGTTTGTACCAAACCAGACCCCATGCCACACAGTACCCCAGAAGCTCCAACTCATTTACACATATAACCATCGACCATTAGTACAGTAAAACAGGACATACTTTAAAATGTGTAATTCTTCCTGGTTGTGGAAGAGACCTTCAACTTTAGATTCTGCCAACAGCAATGTAAAGGAATTATGAACTGACATAACCTCCAAAGTCACCCTAAGATTAAGAGACTTGACAAATTCATTTTAAGCAGTTTGTATTTTGTCTACTGGTCAAATGCGAGCATTAAGTTATTACAGTTTTATTCACAAAAGCCAACTAATATATTATCACTTAGAGAAAATATTTCCTTTTTTTGTCAATATTATAACTTTACTAAAGCCCAAAAAACAAACCCAAATATTAATATGACAGCAGCAGTTTGTCCACTTGGCAACATTAATCTTCATCTGGACAATGGCCCTATGGCTCCTCGAGGCAGAGACAACCCAGTTCCCCTGGCTAGAATACAGTTTGCCTGGTTAGAGTCCTTACAGAAGTTACTGCATAGCCACCAAAAACTGGTAACAGTGATTTAACTGCAGGCAACAAAGTAACTGCTAAAAACTTAGTAATCCAAGAGGACTCTCAAAGAAGCAAATGAAAAGGTAGTGGTTATTTTGACATGGCTCTAGAGATTTTCTAGGTGTGACACCACCAGGAGCAGTGGATAAAATCATTACCATCACATTGCTTTCCAAATTTTATTTCCTTTCCATCTCCTGTTCTCCTGTCCTGTGTGTGTGCATGCACATGCGTTGCACGCACGCATGTGCACACTCACACAGCCTCTATTCCCAGCAGTAGAAGCTACAAAGTAAGCTACAAAACAAATTCCTTCCGGTCCACTCAGTCAACACTAAGAGAAAACAGTTTCAACACTAGAAAGTTTGGTTTATCCATAAGCTTATACAATACCTGGAATCATCTGTCACTTCCTCAATAAAGCCTGATTCACATCTGGGACATATATATTCCTATAAGAGAAAAGAATAAGTAAATAAAAGTTTTTCATTTCATTAGGAACCTAAGCATGTGGCTTTAGGAGATCATGAAGTACAAAAGCTGATGATCGGGCTGACAGGATGACTCAGAGGGCAGAGGAACTTTGCTGCCAAACCTGATGATCAGAGTCTGATCACAGTCCAACACAGCACACACAAAAAAAGGCTTCCTGCCAATTGTCCTCTGACTTCTATTCTTGTGCCATTTCATGCACATACCTACACACACAATAAATAAATAAACAAACAAACAAAAAGGTAATAAAGCCTTTAAACATTTTAGATGTATTTGTGTATGTCTATGGTTATTTCGCTTGCATGTATGTCTGTGCACCACATGTGTGTCCAATGCCCATGGAGGTCAGAAGAGGACAGTGGGTCCCCTGGAACTGGAGTTACTGATGGTTGTGAACAATGTGGGTGCTAGAAACTGAACCCAGGCCCCTGCAAGAACAACATGTGCTATTAACTATTGAGCCATTTCTCCAGTCCCATTATAAAAAAAATAATAAATCTGGCTTTGAAATACATGTACTTGTCAGGTGATGGTGGCACATGCCTTTAATCCCAGCACTCAGGAAGCAAAGGCAGGTGGATCTCTGAGTTCGAGGACAACCTGGTCTCTGGAGTGAGTTCTATGACAGCCAGGGCTACACAGAAAAACCCTGTCTTGAAAAAAAGAATGAAAGAAAGAGAGAGAGAGAGAGGGAAAAAAGGAAGGGAGGGAGGGAAGGAGGGAGGGAGGGAGAGAGAGAGAGAGAGAGAGAGAGAGAGAGAAAGAATTTCACAAGATATTTACAGAATGGTTTTATAGCTACCTAAGTGTTTCTCATTAAGAGAATAAGTGCTTCTCATTAAGAAAAAAAGGTGAATGTTGAAGATTTGTTTGCTTTGTTTTTAATTGGGATGGTTTGGGTTTCTTTCTTTTTTTAATGTCTTTGGTTTGTTGTTCAAGAGGGATGATGGCAAAAACGGGGTGGTTAATGTCCTAGTTAGTTTCAGCCTGTCACAAGCTAGAGTCCATTAAAGGAGTCTCCATTGAGAAAATGCCCCTATGGGATTGGGCTGTGGGTCAGGCTATCCCTGGCTGCTGGTCCCCAGTTCTATAAAAGCACGCTGATAACACTGGGTTGCTCACTGGGGTGCAGCACCCCAGGAAGAACAGCACCTCCTGTACTCAAGCCCAGGCATGTTTAGCTTAGAGAACATGCAGAGACAGGCTGCCAAAAGTCCCTGAAAACCGTGTTGCTGGCTATAGGACATGGGTAGGTGTGAGGTAGAAGTGGTGTCCCGCTGGCTCATTTAGGGGCATCTGAGGGCTGCTGCTACAGTGAACATTAATATTGGAGTGAGATGTGGTGCTAATGTGGAAGTAATTACGAACCAAAGACAACTAGTTTAACTAATGAGAATGAAAATGGCTTCAGAATTTTACAATCTATAGGGCAGCATTGATCAAATGATTACGTTAGTCAATAAAATGCAGCCCAGAGCCCTGTGTCTCTGTATTCAACCACAGGTTGAAACATCCCTAAAATTCCCCTGAAATGATCATGAAGAGAGCAACAGCCAACAAAGAATTTTAGGTTTAATAAAGAAAAGAAACAAGGAGAGCAGGCCAGCGGATGCCATGGGGAGGAAACACACACACACACACACATCAACAAAGTGGGAAAAGTCTTTCTTATCTCATATGTAAAACAGCTTCTTCTGGCCTAATGAGTTGGACTTGGACTGAGATAAATGACTGCTGGAGGTTGGGCTGATGCATGTTACTGGCCCCCAAGATCTGGTTACACCTATTCTTGTTTTGTAAACCTGCCTAAGACATACCTGATTGGTTGATTAAACAGCCTATACCTGGGCAGGGCAGAATGGGGTAGGCGTGGCTATGATTCCTGGGCTTGGAAAGGACAGGAGAATCATTGAAGACAGACAAACAGGAAGAGAGGAGGAAGGACACCATGATGGGTTAGTGTGAAAAAGAAATCACATGGACCTGGAGGAAGGACTCCAATAACAGCATAAAAAGGCGCAGATGAAGAATATGAGCAAGTACCATGGGATGGAAGATAGTTCAGATGAGGATGGTTAAGGAGGATGACATTGGATGGGGCTGGGAGGTGAATGGTGAGGTTACTGAGACATAGGTAGAAATATCTGCTCAGCTCAAGGTAAATAAGGCAATTATTACATCTAAATAATGAGGAAGAAGATGATGATGATGAAAGAAAGAAGGCAGGCTGAGCAAGCCAAGAGGAGCAAGCCAATAATAAGCAGCACCCCTCCATGGCCTCTCTATCAGCTCCTGCCTCCAGGTCTCCACCCTGCTGAGCTTCTGTCCTGACTTCCTTTGATGATGAACTGTGGAAGCAGAATCACAATAAACCCTTTCCTCCCTAAGGTTTCATGTTTCATCATGACCGAGCAACTTGGACAACTGAGACAGCTGATTACTTCTTTAACTAGAGTGAATTAATCACCTAATTTTCTCTTCAAAGCTAAAAAAAAAAATAATAGCTCCAATGCTTATATCAAGGCAGTAAAAAAATACTAATACTGATGGATACAGAACTACTATTTTGTACTATGTATATCTAAGACATAAACTAAATCACAGCATAAATCAATTTATAACCTAGGAAACTAAATGAGGCTTTAAAATTTTCTCTCCCCACCCCCAGATAGCGTTTTCTCTGTGTAGTTCTGGCTGTCCTGGAACTCGGTCTATAGACCAGGCTGGCCTCGAACTCAGAGATCCACCTGCCTCTGCCTATCACATGCTAGAATTAAAGGTGGGTGCTATCACTTCCTGGCTCAGGTTTCAGACATTTCTAAGCTTTTTGTTTGTCTGTGTGTTTGTTTTTGATACAGGATATCACTATGCAGTCATGGCTGGCCTGGAACTTCCCATGAAGACAAGGCTGGCCTCACTCACAGAGTTCCTCATTCTTCAATCTTTCAGATGCTAGGATTAAAGATACAACTCCCAGATTTTCTAATCTATTTTCTGGCTAGCAATGGTTCCAAGTAAAACATAATATTCTCAGATCTTTAAGGAATGAAAACTCAAATAAAGAAGCACAGTAAGATAGCTCTGCAAATAAAGGCATTTGCCATATGTCTTAGTTTTCTATTGCTGTGAAAAAACACCATGACCAAGGCAACTTATAAAAGACAGTGTTTAATTGGGCTGGTGGTTTAAAGGGATAGAATCCAGAATGGCAGAGCAAAGGCATGGCAATAGGAAAAGCTGAGAGCTTGTATCTTTATTCACAAGCAGGAGGCAGAAAAAAACTAACACAAAATAGCCAACTATTTTGAAACTTCAAGGCCTGCCAGCAGTGACTGACTTTCTCCAGAGAAGCCACATGGCCCACTCCTCCCAAACAGCCATCCCTGGAGACCAAGCGCTCAACACAGCAGTCTATGGGGGGCATTCACATTCAAATGCATCAAGTGGGCAGCTCTCAATTCCATCCCAGAAACCCACATGAAAGTGAAGGGAATTCCACAAAGGAGCTCTGACCTCCACACGTGTGCCGCAGCTCAATGATAGTAAGTACAGTGTTTCTTTTGTTTGTTTGTTTGGTTGGTTGGTTTTCTTTTTCCAGACAGGGTTTCTCTGTGTAACCTTGGCTATCCTGGATTTACTTTGTAGCCCAGGCTGGCCTAGGAGATCCAACTGCCTCTGCCTCACCAAATTCTGGGATTACAGGCCTGCTACACCACACCAAGCTAACTACAATGTTTCATAAAGGAATTTAAATATCCATTTACTTTCTAAACACTTTAAGCATGGTTGATCTCCTATAGATATAGTTGTAACTTTCTCAAGTAAAAATGAAATAAAACTCAAATATCCAAACATTTTCTTAAAAGTGATGGAGCAATTCCTCACATCAAGATTAATTTTATGAGGAACTAGTCAAATCAAGGAACAGTAATATTTTGTAAAATAAATCCTTAACAAATAAACACTGGACAAAGAAATAAATTATAGAATTTTCCTAGAAGACCCAGAAAAGGTATTTCTAAAACAGAGTTCTAAGAAATTAATCTGTTCAGTGAAGAAGGGAATTATGTATGTAGTAGCACTGTAGTGTCAAAACTTAGCACTTGAGAGTCAGGCATGATGGTGAGTGCTGGCGCTACATAGTGAGACCCTGTCTAGAAAGAAAGCGGGGCAATGGAGGAAAGAAAGGAAGGGAGGGAGGGAGGGAGGGAGGGAGGGAGGGAGGGAGGGAGGGAGGA